GAAGAATGACTGGAATATGACTGGTGGAAGAATGACTGAGATATGACTGGAGGAAGAATATGGAGATTGACTGGAGAAGAATGACTGGAGATATGACTGGAGGAAGAATGACTGGAATATATGACTGGAGGAAGAATGACTGGAAGTACTGGTGGAAGAATGACTGGAGATATGACTGGAGGAAGAATGACTGGAATAGCTGGTGGGAAGAATGACTGGAGATATGACTGGTGGAAGACTGGAGATATACTGGAGGAAGAATGACTGAAGTATGACTGTGGAAATGATTGGAGATATGACTGGAGGAAGAATGACTGGAATAACTGAGGAAGAATGACTGGAGATATGACTGGAGGAAGAATGACTGAGTAAAAAAATAACTGAATAAATAACTGTCTGACTGTAGAATATAACTGGTTGGAGAAATTACTGTAGATAATAACTGTTTTGATTAGAAAATGACTGGAGGAAATAACTGGGTAAAAAAAAAAACAGCAACAATAACACCAACAACAACAACAACAACAACTACCTTATATCCACATTGCAATACCGTGAAAATAGCCATTATTATTATTGTTATTATCCCCCGCCCTATAAAATAATCCAATCAACAGGTTACCCGTCTATCTGTTTACGTTTTAAAGCTCCTTGTGTGGCATTAGTGTCAAGTAATTGTGGCCTAGGAAGTTACCCCCAGGACATAGTGGCATAGATAAGTGCCAATTTGGTGTTGGTAATGTCTGTTTTGAGGGTAGTTATGGTGTTTAGGTGATTAGTGATTATATTACAGGTAGGTGGAGGGTTGAGGTGAGGAGGGAGGGTGAGGGAGGTAGGGGTGAGGAGAGGAGGTGAGGAGGGAGGTGTTTGTGTTGTGGGTGGATTGAATTTGTCTCTATCTCTGTCTGTCTATATGTCTGTTCCTGTGTCTGTTTTTGTCTCTGTCTACTTCTTTCCTCCACACACACACACACACACACACACACACACACACACACACACACTTCCCTCGTGTTAACCCTAATAGAGACATTTAACGCTAAACCTAAAAAGTTAAAATCAGCCATAGACTGAGACATGTGACGTGGGGGGGGGTAAGCATCTTTGGGGAGAGGTGAGGTGAAGGGAGGAAAGAGGAGAAGGGGGTTAAAGCCTGCCGTGTCATCCTACCTTAATTAATATCTGGAAAACAATCAGGTGACGTGTTGGTAGAGTGAAACTATTATTATACAGGCGACCAAACAAGCCCGAGCTAACAAAGGGGGTGTGTGTGGGTGCTGGGGGTGTGTGTGTGTGTGTGGGTGCTGGGGGGTGTGTGTGGGGTGTGGGTGCTGGTGGTCTGGGGGTGTGTGTGTGGGTCTGGTGGTCTGGGGGTGTGTGTGGGTGCTGGTGGTCTGGGGGTGTGTGGGTGGGTGCTGGTGGTCTGGGGGTGTGTGTGTGTGGGTGCGGTGGTCTGGGGTGTGTGTGTGTGTGGGTGCTGGTGGTCTGGGGGTGTGTGTGGGTGCTGGTGGTCTGGGGGTGTGTGTGTGGGTGCTGGTGGTCTGGGGTGTGTGGGTGCTGTGGTCTGGGGGGTGTGGGTGCTGGTGGTCTGGGGTGTGTGTGTGGGGTGCTGGTGGTCTGGGGGTGTGTGTGGGTGCTGGTGGTCTGGGTGTGTGTGGTGGGTGCTGGTCTGGGGGGTGTGTGGGTGCGGTGGTCTGGGGGTGTGTGTGCTGGTGGTCTGGGGTGTGTGTGGTGCTGGTGGTCTGGGGTGGGTGCGTGGTTGGGGTGCTGGTGGTCTGGGGTGTGGGTGGGTGCTGGTGGTCTGGGGGGTGTGTGTGTGGGTGCTGGTGGTCTGGGGGTGTGTGTGGGTGCTGGTGGTCTGGGTGGGTGGTCTGGGGTGTGTGGGGTGGTGCTGGTGGTCTGGGGGTGTGTGTGTGGGTGCTGTGGTCTGGGGGTGTGTGTGTGGGGTGCTGGTGGTCTGGGGTGTGTGGGGTGCTGGTGGTCTGGGGGTGTGTGGGTGGTGCTGGGGTGTGTGTGTGGGTGCTGGGTGTGTGTGGGGTGCTGGTGGTCTGGGGGTGTGTGTGTGGGTGCTGGTGGTCTGGGGTGTGTGTGTGGGTGTGCTGGTGGTCTGGGGGTGGGTGCTGGTGGTGTGTGGGTGCTGGTGGTCTGGGGGTGTGTGTGGGGTGCTGGTGGTCTGGGGGTGGGGTGCTGGTGTCTGGGGTGTGGGTGGGTGCTGGGGTGTGTGTGTGGGTGCTGGTGGTCTGGTGGTCTGGGGTGCTGGTGGTCTGGGGTGGTGGGTGCTGGTGGTCTGGGGGTGTGTGGTTGGGGTGTGGTGGTCTGGGGGTGTGTGGGTGCTGGTGGTCTGGGGGTGTGTGTGCTGGTGGTCTGGGGGGTGCTGGTGGTCTGGGGGTGTGTGGGTGCTGGTGGTCTGGGGTGTGTGTGTGGGGGTCTGGGGGTGTGTGGGCGGTCTGGGGTGTGGTGGGTGCTGTGGTCTGGGTGTGTGTGTGCTGGTGGTCTGGGGGTGTGGGGTGCTGGTGGTCTGGGGTGGGTGGGTGTGTGTGGGTGCTGGGGGTGTGTGGGTGCTGTGGTCTGGGGGTGTGTGTGGGTGCTGGTGGTCTGGGGGTGTGTGTGGGTGCTGGTGGTCTGGGGGTGTGTGGGTGCTGGTGGTCTGGGGTGCTGGTGGTCTGGGGTGTGTGTGGGGTGCTGGTGGTCTGGGGGTGTGTGGGTGCTGGTGTCTGTGTGTGGGTGCTGGTGGTCTGGGTGTGTGTGGGTGCTGGGTCTGGGGGTGTGTGTGTGTGGGTGCTGGTGGTCTGGGGTGTGTGTGGGTGCTGTGTCTGGGGGTGTGTGTGTGGGTGCTGGTGGTCTGGGTGTGGGTGCTGGTGGTCTGGGGTGTGTGGGTGCGTCTGGGGGTGGGGTGCTGGTGGTCTGGGGTGTGTGTGGGTGCTGGTGGTCTGGGGTGTTGGTGGTCTGGGGGTGTGTGTGTGTGTGGGTTCTGGGGGTGTGTGTGGTGGTCTGGGTGTGGGTGCTGGTGGTCTGGGGTGTGTGTGGGTGCTGGTGGTCTGGGGGTGTGTGTGTGGGTGCTGGTGGTCTGGGGTGTGTGTGGGTGCTGGTGGTCTGGGGGTGTGTGTGTGGGTGCTGGTGGTCTGGGGTGTGGGTGGGCGGTCTGGGGGGGTGTGTGGGTGCTGGTGGTCTGGGGTGTGTGTGGGTGCTGGTGGTCTGGGTGTGTGTGTGGCGCGGTCTGGGGGTGTGTGTGGGGTGCTGGTGGTCTGGGGTGTGTGTGTGTGGGTGCTGGTGGTCTGGGGGTGTGTGTGTGTGGGTCTGGGGGTGTGTGCTGGTGGTCTGGGGTGTGTGTGGGTGCTGTGGTCTGGGGGTGGGGGTCTGGGGGTGTGGGGTGCTGGTGGTCTGGGTGTGTGTGGGT